ATACACCCTTCTTAGTCTCTTTACTCGATGCATCATACACAAAACCCTGACCTTAGTGGTCTTTGCATCTTTACGAACCACAGCATGATGTGGTAGATAATGGATCTTATCAGCTCTCTCTAACTCTACAACTGGTTCTATAATACCCAGCTCTAACTGTTCTTTAATTACTCTATCATACTCTTGTAAAACTTCTGGCTCCTTCTTTAATCTTAAAAGCTGTCCCTTTAATCTCTGCACACTACAGCTATAATTAGTTGGCAATAAACTATGCCCTTCCTTCCAAGGTAAACTTACACTATATCGTTGGCCATTGAAATGTAGTGAATCATTTAATAACTCACTAGCTTCCTCTTCATGCTTTATACCTAACGTTTCATAATCCCATAATTTTTCAACACATGCTTGAAGGGACCTATTCTTAGATTTAGTTACATGCCCAATAAGGTTTACACTTACCTGTGCACACGATGTAGGACCATCATCATCTTCAGAGCCACTCTTCAGTGGACCTGACAACACCCATCCTAATTTGGTTTGTACCGCAACAGGTTCATCACTCTTGCCCCTAACCGTACGCCCTTCTTGAAATAACCACAAATAATCTGCGCCAATTAGTAACTCTATTTCTAACACATTCTTGGTCTTACAAACATCGGAAAACCATAACCCTTGCAAATGTGGGTAATCTTTCTTCCTTGTCTCTACATGCTCATTCCTAATCTGTGAAATGCTGTCTACTCCATAAACTTCAATGCTAACACTCTCTCCCCCCTGTACTGGGGCTACACTCAATTCAAACACTTCTCTCAACTTCCCTTCAACTTTCTCCTGTCCGAACGTTCTAATTTCTACCCATTCCTTCCTCTTTACTGGCACTCCTGCCTTCTGAGCTACCTTGCCCGTAACGAATGACCGTTGACTTCCTGAGTCAAACATAACCCGCACTCTCACATTATCCTTTCCTCCCAACACCAAAGCCTGAGCTGTCTGCAATGCTACTCTATTTGCTGACCCAACGCACGAATGTGTGGAATGAACGACGTCAGCGGTTATAGACCCATTAGCATGGCTCTCACAAATAGAACTATGATGTCGTTTACTGCATGCACTACATTTACTGGTATTTAAACAATTACTACTAATATGTCCTCTTTTTAAACATACAAAACACCGTCCGTACTTACGAAGTATCTGTTTACGCTCACCAGCATTCTGAATTTTCTTACAATCTTGTGATAAATGTTCTTGTAAACAATATACGCATCTTGGCTTCCCTTCCCTGGTGGTATGATTCACAAGAGCAGCCGCCGATCCATCTAGAAACTGTGGTTTCCTTCGTTCTTGTTTTGACGTGTTCGTCGTAGATGATTCGTGTGCTTCGCGTAATTCAATTTCATCTAGCAGTGCTTTTAAAATATCCTTCATCGTCCAACTTAGAAAGTCTGATCCACTTGCCCCACGAGTTATCGTCAAACGAAGGGATCCGGCATTGTCGAGTATTTCCGGAACAACAATCGTAGCATACGAACTTTCGTCCACTCCCAGGGTTTTCAGACCTCGGCAGTTTGTCTCACAGGCATGGTACAATTCCCGTAGTCGACGCACATCTCGCTCGTTGTATACTGGCTTTATGTTCATTAACGCTTGAATATGAGCTCTCTGTATCGCCATTTTCTTCCCATATCGTGTCTTCAGGAGTTCTAATGCTTCTTTATAGTTCGTTGCTGTCAACGTGAACCCTGCGATAGTTGTCTGCGCGGGACCAGTAGACCTTTCAAATACGCGAATTTATCTACCTCTGATAGAGCGTCATTCTGATTTACAGAACTATCAAAGGAGTCCCAAAATTCTTGCCACTCTTGAATTTTCCCATTAAATCTTTTCACCTCTAACTTTGGGAGCTTTGCGCGAACAGTCTGTTTTGGTGTAGCGTTCATACTCAGATTCGATGGTGTACTTTGACCTTGTGGTAGTGACGGCAAGGCTTCGAACAATGCGTCATTCACGTCGAGAATTATTTTTTGTAATTCAGCTCGCGTATCATCTGTCTCCTGAATTTCCTTTTCCAGCTGTTGTTCTGCGTCTTCGGCTTCACTATTACTTAGTACCTCGACAATCTCGTTATCTAAAAGTTTCAAGGCTTCGACTTTCTCGCTCAGCGTATCTCTCAGCTGTTTCAGCACATTCTTGTCCGTTTGAGGCGTTTCACTCGTATTCGCTAAACATTCTTTTATCTTCGTCCCTATCTTCGTTGCTGAACCTCTGTGCGCTGCGCGTGTTCTTCTTTTCTTTGTCAGCTCGTCCAACGGCATTTTCGTATCTATCTCGATTCTTTCTTTCGAAATCTATCCGGCTCGCATGGACCAAGTGTTGCACTTTTCTGTCTTACACCGCAAGACAGTTGCGCTTCGTGGGGACTGTATACTATCAGAACAATACCATCGGAAATAGAACACACACGCGTACTTTAAAACATATTTATTTAAAACGATTCAAACGATAAAATACATAACATGACAATCCTTCTGGTTTTCTCTCGTGCTTTCAGTCAGACAATCAATTCAAAGTCTAATATTTATGACATACGATACATTTCTTACGTCAATCAACTAAATCACCCATTGTTTGTTATCCTACGTCGTTATCAATAATATAGTATTACAAATTATTCTACAGTAAGATTTGAATAAAATGTTACTGCACTGAACATTGATTTCATCATTCTTATATCTTTCCTTTACATCTAGTCATTCCCGCTGGTATTCTGCAAGAACCGTTCTTTTACTCCGGATCAATTCCAAAGTAATGACAAAATTTCTTGTTTTAATTCCAAATTAATATATAATCTCTTTTCAGAGATTGTATCTAAAATTATATCTCTTTTCAGAGCTCTGAGTTACGGCGCAATTGGTCATGTTCTAGGACACGAATTGACTCATGGATTTGATGACACAGGTACATCATTATGTAATATTTATTTCATTTTTTCAAATATTTGTGATCGTTTTAATATTCCGTCTCTTATAGGAAGAACATTTAATTTGATTGGAAAAAAAGTTCTATTCAAAGAGACGGGATGGAGTAACGTTTCTGATCGAAATTTCAAAAAGGAAGAGAAGTGCTTGGTGAAGCAGTTCAACGGTTACAAAGTATTGGGAAAATTTCATGTAGGTGGCAGAATTATTTAATAATTTGTAATAGGCCTGCCACAATGCTAAGATATGTCAAAACAATGGGTGACTGGATGGCATGGAGCACAGCTGAATTATCAAAACTATAAAAAGACAATGGAACATTCTGATCAATGGATCGTGACTGGATGACATGAAAACCATTGTTTTTCATTGGATTGTAACTGGATGCTCAGGGCTCATCATTGTTTAGAAGTTTATATATGCAGATAATGTACTGTTGTTTGCAAGCTACCATTGGGCGTGCGTGTATGTTTACATTTCAAACGTTCAGATTGGACCGAAAATCGTTAACGTCTTAAAAGCAACCAATCAACGTTTGCCATGATCTTATCAAAGTTTCACATGGTCACCGTTGACTGAACCTGAACTTTTGAAACGTAAACGTACATGAAAAGAAACGCACGATTAATGATAACTTGGAAACAGCTGCAGTATCTCTCTTTCTGTATAGGTCAATGGTAAGATGACATTAGGAGAAAATATTGCCGATGCAGGAGGTTTAACGTTAGCCTTCAATGTAAGTGAATATACTACAGTGATATACTACATACTTTGGGTATGTACTACCATTTCATTCCTTACCATTCAATAGCTTACGAATCTATACCGCACCGCACAACACACCACACCACAATCCAACCGTACCCAACCCAACACAACAACACAACACAGCACAATGCAATGCAATGCAATGCAATGCAATGCAATGCAATGCAATGCAATGCAATGCAATGCAATACAAAAGTGCATATTATCTTTTTTAGGCTTACAAACGATGGATTAACGACCACGGAGAAGAGAAGGTGTTACCATGTTTAGATAAAAACAGTGATGAATTATTTTTCATCGGTTTTGCACAGGTACAGAAGAATTATTTCTGATTTTATAACTGACCAATGATTCTGTCATATACGAGCCTATCCTTCGTAATGGTCGTGCAGTGTTTGATAGAGTCAAACTCATGGAAGCAATCTTCTTGCATGCAACTGCAGTAATTGAACCTAATGCAACCACAGAGGTAAAAGCCACATGCGCTAGCCACTCTGTTAATTGAATTTCCTATTAAATCTAATTCCCCAAATTTCCTCCATTTGATAGAAAGATTGTGCGAATACTTCTCCAGCTGGTCAGTTTATGGCTGTGCAAGACGATGATTACGCGCCTGCTAAGTACAGGTAGCCTAAGACTATTTAACTGTGATACGAAAAATTCAAACGTTCATAATTTTACGTCGAATTGGAACATTTCACATGTGAAAATATGCTCATTTCATATGTAGAATTTTCACATATGACACTTAAAATTTCACATGTTGTTTGCATGTGAAATTAAAGGTTTATTTGTGAAAATTATTTCACATGTGGAATTTTATGTCCAATTGGAACATTTCACATGTGAATATGCTCATTTCGTATGTGAAATTTAGTGCATTTTCACATTCAAAACTTAATTATTGACATGTGAAATTAAAGGTTTATATATGTGAAATTTAATTTCACTTGTGAAATTATTATTTCATGTATGGAATGGTTCACATGTGAAAAGGGATTTTCACATTTGAATTCATATGTGAAATTTTCGTAAGGGTATGGTATTTTTTGCGAGGTTGCAGATGGTCGGATTGACCACTGTTACTTACAGATCTAGAACGAAAACTAAACTAACTTTATTTATTATATACACAAGGTCTGGATACGAGGTATTCTGCAATCTGATTGGTTCTCTACTAGCAGGATATTAGCTCATATCCTACTAGTAGGGAAAAACAAAATGGCGGCTCAAACTGAATTTCCGATTTTTGCGAACGAGAAAACGGCAAGTTGTTCGCTTTTTGTAGCCTCTACAGGATTAAAAACACAATGAAAAAATTCCCAAAAATTGTTTACAGGTTAGCAAATGAATTTTTAAAATTTAAAATTGTTAAAAATATATATTTTTGAAGAAATAATCGGCCGAAAGAGCGAAGATAAAAACATAAACAAAATAGAGAAATATTGAAAATATCCGAAAAGCAAAGTCTGTGAATTCAGACCTTGTGTATATAATAAAACAGTTATTCCACTCACTCTCGTCGAATATGAGCGATAGCCGATTCGGCGCTACGCGCCTCATCGGCTATCAGCTCATATTCGACTCGAGTTCGTAGAATAACTGTTAATTATACTGGATAGCTCAATCAGTTCCAAACTGTTCTCACTCTGAGAGGTCCAGTAAGAGCATACTCTAGTGGTTCAGTCTTACTACTTTGAGGTCAACTATAGAAGCATTCAACTCACATGCTTGCAACCGTAGCGAAATTTTAATCACACAACTGCAGTGCATGCATATATTGTACGAATTAACACATATATTTGTCA